TGAATAATATAAAAAAAATTTGCTGTTTTTTTTTTTTAGCTCACCTGAGCTGAAAGCTCAAGTGAGCTTTTCTGATCACCGGTTGTCCGTCGTCCGTCTGTCCGTCCGTCTGTAAACTTTTCATATTTTTGACTTCTTCTCAAGAACCACTGGGCCAATTTTAACCAAACTTGGTACAAAGCATCCTTGGGTGAAGGGGAGTTTAAATTTTAAAAATGAAGGGCCAAGTCCTCATCAAAGGGGAGATAATCAAGATAATACAAAAATTGGGTGGGGTCATAAAAAAATCTTCTTCTCAAGAACCACTGGGCCAGAAAGGCTGAAACTTATGTGGAAGCATCCTGGGGTAGTGTAGATTCTAAATTGTTCAAATCATGACCCCCGGGGATAGGGCGGGCCACAATAGGGAATCTAAGTTTTACATTGAAATATATAGTAAAAATCTTTAAAAATCTTCTTCTCAAGAACCACTGGACCGGAGAAGCTGAAACTTAAGTGGAAGCATCCTGGGGTAGTGTAGATTCTAATTGTTCAAATCATGAACCCTGGGGATAGGGCGGGGCCACAATAAGTACTGGGGGGGGGGGGTTAGAGAAATCAGGTGAAAAACAGCAAGGCCAAAGTTACTCAGGTGAGCGCTGTGGCCCATGGGCCTCTTGTTTCAGTCAGTACGATAATTTAGCCACCGTCCTTCGGGCTCAGGGAATATTATACTAATGACTTACTGGTAATCATTATACACCCCCAAAACAGCAATATTTGTATAAAATTACATTTTTGATCGATTTGTTAGTCAATGGTATCTGATAACTATATTGCAAAAAAATGCATAATAAGGGGAAATTTTCTATAATTCTCATTTTTACTAAGAAATCAAAGAAATGGAAAGTTGCTTCTGAGTAACATATTGTTTCTCGGCTGTTTAATCCTAAAAATTCTTTGATGTAAACTATTATAAACGTTTTCTTCGTCACGGACACCATTTTATGGCATGGAACTGCAAGTTACAATCTTATTCGGTAACAAGTGATATTTTGAGTTTTGTACACATTTTTGGAGGGATATTTACCAGCACAATACTTTATTTGTAATAAAAATAATGTTTTCAATTGGGGTATATTCCACGTTTTATTGTAACAGCTTCTTCTACAATAAGATCACTTTTTATATTACATTGGAAGGTAGGTTCTTGGCTCACCTGAACAACGACTGGGGCTCTGTTTTTGCCTTGTTTGCTCTGTTTGTTTTTTAAAGACTTTTTTCTACAACCACCAGAATTAATGCTGCAATCTTTAAAAATCCTCTTCTTTATTCCTGAACATCATGAAAACAAACTATTGGCATAATTGTAATAAGCATTGGGCCTTAAGTGGGGGGGGGGGATTATAGTGAAAAAATTCTTTGAAAATCCTCAATTGGGTGCATAGTTATGATGATGAGGGTACCTCTTCCAAATTTGTGAATTTCATGACCCTGGGTCATATGTTCTGATGTTAGGGTAGGGCTGTGTTGAATCTTTAGTCGTACAGTACTTGCATTACGAAAAAAAACATTAAACGACGAAATATGCGATAAAAAAAATGAAATTCGGAAGGATGACTTTATCATAGAAACAATGTATCTGAATGATCAATGATACGAAAAATAATTTCAATGCATATTTAAATATACATGTATATACACTTTTAATAATATATTTTCCCCCTTTTCTTAAAATTGACGTTCACTACAGAATTGGCAAAGAGGCGGCAAAACAAAATGAAAACCTGAAGAGCAGAGATAAATTACACGAGCCGAATGATCAACTGACATAAGAGGGAAGGAGATCAATCAAATTTTAAGTTTTTAGTTTTAAAATATAGAGTTTATCTGAAAACAGCAAAGCGAAAAAACATAGAGAAAATCAACCAAATTCAATAACAAAACGAATCCGTTTTAATAATTTTGTTTCGTTTTATTTTTGGAGATGGACTAACAACCAGGTGGATCGACTGACATGATACGTCTGCCTGAATTGCCTATTTTTTAAAGAACATCATAGACTCCGGCCGATACATATACGTACCATACATAGCATAGCTTAACAGAACAAGAGAATTGTAAATGCAAGAATTTTTATTTTATAAAACAAAAATTACTTTCGTAATTTTAATGATCAGATAGATTTTAAACAATAGATAAATGAAAATGAAACAAAAATAACTTATTAAATGTTATTCAAAGATCAAGGGAGGCCACTGTGAGAGGTTATAATATCGGGTTAAAAATAGTACAGAAGCACAATCAGATCTTTGTTACGCTGTACAGCGACTATCAGAATTTCGGAGTGTAACAAAGATCTGATTTTAATCAGATTGTATTTTGCCTGTACTTCATCAGTTAGCAATTTTATTTTTCATAAATACCGGGTTTTTCACACTGATTTTTGACAGAAATTGATTGTCTGATTTATAATCAGGCCGTGGTTTCTCGTAATTTCCTTAAAATAATGTCCGACAGAAATAAAACTCTATTAAAATTTTCGGTGATGGTCAACATGTCGGACTACCGGACCGTCAGACTACCGGACCGTCGGACTATCGGGCCGCCGGACTATCTGACCGTCGGAATACTAGGCTTGAACTTGAAGGACAAACATTAGCGCAGATATTAAATTTTAATGAATTCAAACAAACGCACTATTTCTCGTGCTTATCACTGTGATATACGCGAGCAAACGAAAGAGATGAATTTATGAGCCGATGGTAGAGAGTGATGGTCAGGTAGACTTGTAAGTAATAGATAAAAAAACCCATTTGTTTGTACATTAAATATTCTTCAAAGACCAAGAGAGGCCAGTGAGGGAATGCGAAGAATCATTAAATAAATACATTACTATGTATAATGATAGTGTGTGTTGATACGATCTCCTTTATGATTTATTACTGAGAACTACACTAACTTTCGTTGATCTCTTGATAATCTTTTTTTTTTTTTTTACTTTGGGGTAAAATATCCTCATCACTTAGTTTATCTTGTTTTATTTGACATTTTAGTGGATCCTTTAGAGTAGTGTATTATACTCAGGTGACCGGTAAGGCCATCGAGCCTCTTGTTCAACTTAAATTTAAATTGTTTTATTTTTTTCTTGTTTCAGAATTTAACGTTCATGTTGGATTTCTCTCAAAAAGCACAAAAAAAACGTTTGTTTAAATTTGGTTGAAATTACTCTGCTGTTTGAAGGGCTTCAAATTTATCTAGATCTACACTCGGCACTCAGTGTCAAGTGTGCAGTGAGGGTTTTTAATCGTGCCAACGGGACCTCGGTTTTTAAGGTCTCACCCGAAAGACCCGTGACTTTCACTTCTCCTCCGGGCGCTTGGCAAAGGAACTGTCACTACCTATTTGTTAACCTATTAGATTTGACGCGGCGCGGCAAACGAGAATCGAACCCTGGCCTACCGATCACGAAGCGAACGCCCTACCACTAGGCTACCGTGACCGGTTATTTCGAATAAGAAGGGACTTAAAATCATCAAATTTTATTAGTTGGCCGCATCTTGGGTCCACAAAGTGTTTCAACTAAAAAATAAGGTCACCGTTACCTATTTTTGGAATTGCACATTTTCAATTTTTTTCAGTTGCTGTATCCTGGGTCCTCGTGTTGTTTCAAGTAAAAAAAAAAAAGAAAAGAAAAAAAACTGCTGTGACTATAATTTGGAATTTCACACTCTTATCTCAATATTTAGGATACTAAAAGGCTTAGAATTGCTAAACTTTGTTAGTTGACACAATTGGGTCCTCAGATTGTGTTAACCGAAAAGTAGGTCACAATGACACATTTTTGGAATAAGGCTTTATCTAATTATTTCGGATAATAAACAGCTTGGAATCATCCACCTTTGTCAGTTGATGCATCTTCGGTTATCATGATAGTGTTAATCAAAAAGTAGGTAATTTTGGCCAACTTTTGGAATTTCAAGTCGTTTAGAATACAGTTGTAGAATATATCAGAAGCGCGATTCTAGACCCTTGAACCTCTTTAAATTTAAAATAAAGTAGGATTAATTAATAAATGCACGCTTAGCTAGCGCTATATATTATTGTCTGTGCCGTGGGGATGCATCACAGAGGTGCAAAAGGACTCCAAGTCGGCACTAGTTATGTAATAGCACCTTGCAAAAAGCAAACCGAAAAATCCCAAAACTTTCAAAATGATGCGGACAATATAATTAATATATGTATATCAAAAGAAATCAAGCTTTTGTAATTTTTTCGCTCAATAAGTTTTAAGAATTCAAGACTTTGAGACTATCAAAAACGAAAGAACCTGCAGTAATTAGATTGTATTGCATGTACACAGTCCAGATAAAAATCCAAAAATAGTATATAAACTATAAGAACGGCACTCAGAAAGAACTGCAACAATCTTGAAACAAACACTCATGATGTTACTGAATAAATTATTTATTTTTCGGGCCGGGGTGGGGATGAGGAGTAAAGGACATTGTAATCTCAGGTGACCTATTGCTATCTGTTTTCGTCTGTCGTTGTGCGTTAACATTTGTACTTTTTTAGCTTCTTCTCTGAAACCGCTCAACCAATTTCAACATATAGCATCTATGGATGAAGTGGGAAAAAATTTTGAGTTTCATGGTCCCTACCCCCTGGGACCTTAGGGGTGGGGCCAAAACCACTAAAATTAATGCAATCTTTAAAAATCTTCTTTTTTACTCCTGGACATCAAGCAGTCAAACTGCTGGCATGATTGTAATAAGCATTCTCTAAGCGTCCTCTACCAAAATTGTGAAATTCATGGCCCTAGGGTCAGGGGTTCTTGTGCTAGGGTGGGGCTCTGTTGAATATTTAATTTCATTAATAGATTAATTTGTTTCCTGAATTTTATTACAAAATTGCTTAATTTTAACATTGAGGGGCACAAAAACATATACAATTCCTATCCAAAATAATCTTTGTGCACGTCTTTAATTAAGGTGAAAAACAACTTCAAAGCTGCTCCATTGTTGAAAAACATTTTTTTATTTTTTGATAAGTGACATTTGTTGTTCACAATTCTAAGTACTCAGTTTTTTCTCCAACTTTCACATATGTAAACATACATATTACTGTGTTAACCTTTTAACTGGAGAAAATATAAAGTCTATTGCATTTCTCTCCTGAGAGGAGATATCTGGATGCCAAAGGTCCACAATAAGCACACAACGAGACCCCTCCTCCTCCCTACCCTGGTGACTGACTCCATGGAGAAAAGAATCATTGAACAACAAACATTTTCCCACCTGCCACTTGTTCTGCATCCCAGAAACTGTTAGAATACACTCATCAACAGTTTTTAGTCCTGGAAGATAAAATAAGACAAAACATTCAACGAACATTGCATGTCACAATTCCATTATGTTTGCAAGCGTGTATAGTTATCAGCGATGATGAACCCCGCATCGATGGAGCGCAAAATTAATAACCAATTATAAATATAACAGAATTGCTTCATGTAAAATAGCAACAATTCGATTATTGCATACAGTAATTGAATTGATGACCGTAATACATGTACTAGTATTTCAATTAAAGATAGCAATACATGTATTTCAATATCTGAGCGCATTAATTCAAATTAATTGTTGCTCATTAATTTAATTGTTGATACCAGACAAAGGAAATGTATCCAGATTACCTACAGTCTTTCAAGATGGTAATTTATGTTTTTTGGCCTAGCTCTTCTTTAAAGTATTTGCTGGGATTACTTTTGACCTAATTTTAAATTGAATTCTATTAAAATGATTCATTTTCTTCATAATTCAATTACTAGTATAGACATTAAGGTGGGATTCTTGTCAGATTTCTGACTTCTTAAATTTTTAAAGTATTCTTAGATGCCTTTACATTGAAACAATATGAATTAGAAAAATCATAATTTCTTTCCTTCTTACGGCCTTACAACTTGTTTTAGAAAATTGTATCCTGAATGTAAAATCCAGCTGGGACTACTAGTTTATTTTTAGCAGAACAGCAATGTAAGAAAATACATGTACCAAGTTTTCCTTATTATGTTCCCCAAACGAAGTTTGGGAACATATTGTTTTTACTCGGTTTCTTATTATTATTATTATTATTATTATTATTCTTTTTATTCTTATTTCTTCTCCGGTACTTTTTTGTCCGCGAGTGTTCTCGGAAACTACTCATCCGATTAAGGTGAAACCTTTTTAGGGTTAATAGGCATGTTATGTAGATTTGCGGAACGAAGGTCATTTTGCGCGCACGCGCATGCACGTGCATGCGCGTGCAATGCGTAAAATGACCAATATACTTGATATAGCTATAACTTTTATATTTTTTGATGAAATGCTTTGATACTCAGAATATAGGGATATATTAAAATTGTAAACAAGATGACATGGTCAACATGCACATGCATGCACGTGCGCGCACGTGAAAAGCGTAAAATGACCAATATACTTGATATAGTCGTAATTTTTATACTTTTTGATGAAATGCTTTGATACTCAAAATGTTTATATATATTAGAAGTGTTGACAAGATGACATGGTCATCATGCACATGCATGCATATGCATGCACGTGCGCGCGCGTGCAATGTGTTAAATGATCAATATACTTAATATAGCCGTAATTTTCATATTTTTTTTAATGAAAAGCTTTGATATTAAGAATAAACAGATATATTAAAAGTGAAGACAAGTTGATTTGGACATCATGCACATGCGCGCGCGTGCAATGTGTTAAATGACCAATATACTTAATATAGCCGTAACTTTTATATTTTTTGATGAAAAGCTTTGATACTAAGAATAAACAGACAAATTATAAGTGTAGACAAGATGGCATGGTCATTATGAACATGCATGCAGATGCGCGTGCGCGCAATGCTAAGATGACCAATATACTTGACATAGCCGGAACTTATGTATTTTTGAGGAAATGTTTTGATACTGAGAATATAAAGATGCATTAATAGTATAGACGGGATGACATGGTCATCCTGCACATGCAAGCACGTGCGCGCGAGAGAAATGCAAAAAACGACCAATATACTTCATTGCCATATTTAATGAAGCTTACACGAAATAAGACCCCAAAGGGGTGTTGGGGAGCGTTTGGGGAACATCTGTAACGGTCCCCGTTACAATTATAACTAGTTGATAATGAATTAAGTTCACAGGTGCTTGACGTTTAAAAGAAAAAATTATAATTTACCGGTCTTCCTGACCATCAAAAACTATGAAAGCGTTTTTTGATTATATATTATAAAACATAGGTAATCGGAGATTACAGAGCTCACCTCAACGAATGTTGCCTTTAAGTAAGGCAAAGTCCCACACTGAACTAATAATCTAGGAGTGTGCATCCCTAGATGCAACATTTATGCAATTTTGGTCTGATAGGGCTTGTAGTTACTTGGTAATAGACTTATCTGAAAACTTAAAACTAGTCACTCATCCAGAAAATGTAAGTCAAATCCAGCATCCGAGGCAAGTTTTGAGATTGATCGTCCCTTGATGCATCATCCATGCAAGTTTGGATCAGATAGGCCTTATAGTTACTTGGAAATGAGATCTGCTCCAAAAATTTTAATCTAGTAACTCATCCGGAAAATGTAGGTCAGATCCAGCATCTGAAGCAAGTCCAGTAGTGTGAATCCTTAGATGTATCATCCATGCAAGTTTGGTCAATATAGGGCTTATAGTTACCTGGAAATGAGATCTGATCCAAAAACTTTAACCTGGTCACTCATCCGCAAAATATAGGTCAGATCCAGCATCCGAAGCAAGTCCAGTAGTGTACATCCTTAGATGTATCATCCATGCAAGTTTGGTCAATATAGGGCTTATAGTTACTTGGAAATGAGATCTGCTCAAAAAACTTTAACCTGGTCACTCATCTGGAAAATATAGGTCAGATTCAGCATCCGAAGCAAGTTCAGTAGTGTGCACCTTAGATGTATCATCCATGCAAGTTTGGTCAATATAGGGCTTATAGTTACTTGGAAATGAGACCTGCTCCAAAAACTTTAACCTGCTCCAAAAACATTAACCTGGTCATTCTTTAGCTGAAATTGCAGCATCTGAAACTTTGACTGGTACAATGAAACACACTAGAAGCATCCTCCATGCATCTCTGACTAATAATGGCCATAGAAGTACTTGAAAAGAAAACTGCTCCAATAACCTTAACCTGGGACTCCGACACCGACGCCGAGGGTATTACATAAGCTCCCCCAACTTCGTTGAGGTGAGCTAAAAATTCTTGTATAAATCTCTTATTCAATTGACCTTTCAGTTGCATCATTAACAATGGTTAATTATCAAAGATAAATAGCAAAGGGGATCGAATAACCTCTCAGTATAATGCAAATTAATTCATCCCTGCCCAGCACCACTCCACTCTCTACCATCGGTTCATATATATATGTACCTCTGTCGTTGGCTCGCGTATATTATGAGAATAAGCACGAGAAATAATTCATTATAGTTAAACACCTGTGCTAATGTTTTTTTTTTTTTTTTTTGTTTTTTTTTTTTTTTTAAGATGGATACATATATTTATTAAATAAATCTAGAACTATTAGTTTAATTTGAAATAATCTATGGAATGTCATGTGTTTTTTTTTTTTTAAATTATGTCAAAAATCTTTGACGCAAGCCCATTGCAGAGGTGTCTGAGAGAGAAACAAACGACAACTCTGCAAAGGAGGTTGGCCCTGGCTGAGTAGTCCAGAATTTAAAAAATCTGGTAAAAAATAGCTTTACAACTTAGTACCCTGTTTGCCTCCTAGATGCCCAAAGCAGAGATTTTAAATAAAAACAGGTTTATAAAGGATCAAATCACGCGACCAGCCCCGTATTTATATCCTGATAGATGTTTACATGTAACAAGATGCCCATGGTCCACAAAGCTCACCTGTGATACTTTAGCCCTCCAGAAGATTTTTATATTCCCTTGAAAAATTGTGACCCCATCTTATGGCTATATTTGAGCCACGATACGATATGTATCACGATACATGTATATTGAATTGGCTATAAAATTTTTTTTTGTATTGAACAAAACATTTCTTCACAAATGAGAATAATTTATTCAAAGAAGTTGTACATGTGTATCTGTTGTGAAACAAAATTATTTTACACAAGTGGTGTTAATTATTATCATGTATTTCTTATTTATATTTATCATATTCATTTTATATACTAAACCAAAATGTTATAAGTTAACAAAAAAAAAACATAAGTCAGAATTTTTTTTGTTGTTGCAATATTTTGATATTTCTTCATATGTATCGATATGCGTATCATCCTCACACAGAATCGATATTATCGATATCTCGTCCCAGCCCTACTTATGACCCCACCTTAACTCTAAGGGGTCTCTGAATCCAAACATCATGGTGTTTCTTTAATATCAATATGACTAACATGACCTTGCAGTTATGGAGTAGAAAATGCTTTACCTGTAGTATACATGTACATGTGCATGCAACATGCGTCATTTTAGACAACTCTAACTCAGAGTTCCTTATTTTAAAAGCAAAAGCCAGAAACGCTTCAATGCCATTATTCACAAAAAATAATTTCAAAGCTCCTTTTGAGTTTAATATAAAAGTTTAAAATGTGATAATTAAATTTTAGAGGCCTTACATGTATGCCATTGTCCGAATAGAGCAGGGTTCGAATGACCAGACACAGTCGAACATGTTCGTACTGAAAATTAACTCATCTCTTTTCAGTCAGTTGAAAAACTATGAAGGATTTAATGAAAAATTACATTGTTTTTATGGAGTACAAAAAAGCATGATAGATACCACAGATTTACATAAAAAATAATAAAAATGATTATTAGATTCTCAATTTCCTATGTTTAAAATTTCAAGAGCATGTATCTAATACTTTTTATTTTATAGCATAATTAATGACCCCTCTTAAAGAACTTCGGTTATTCATAACGTCAAAAACACACTATAACGACGTCTTTATTACCCATCATTCGAAAAATCGTTTTAAAAAATCAGTTATTTAAAAACGTAATTAGATTTTTTAACCTGAGATTTTCTAAATTTTTTTAATTTTTATAAATTATGTAAAAATAGTTGCTTTCAAAGAGTAAATACACTTTATGTTACTATGCTGCGCGAAGTATTGCGCAATGAAGACCTCAGTCGGCCCCCTTAAATTTTTGGTTCACCAAATTCATTTTTGCAGAAAATTGAAAACTTCAACATTAGCAGTAATAAAAAAGTTAAATTTTTTATTTATTTTTGCACAAATTGGGTCAGCAACAGTAGATCCATACACCAACTTGATAAAAACAAGAGGCCCATGGGCCACAGTGTTCACCTGAGTCAATATGGCCCTGCTGTTCTTCATCAGCAGATTTTTTTATTATATATTCCTATGTAAAACTTTTATCCCCATATTGTGACCCCCCCCCCCATTTTTATAGATGTAGCCCCAACCTACTACTCAGAGTCATGATTTGAACAAAATTGAATCTACAATACCTCAAGATACTTCCATATCAATGTGACTAAATATGGCTTTGCTGTTCTTGAGAAAAAGATTTTAGAGAATTTTTTCCTATACATCCATATGTTAAACTCTGCTGGTGCATTGTGTTCCCACCCTACCCATGGGGATCCTCATTTGAGCAAACTTGATCTACACTACCTGAGAATATTTCCATATCAAATGACTAAACATGGCTTTGCTGTTTTTGTGAAGATTTTTGAGTATTTTTCCCTATATATCCCTATGTAAAACCCTATAGTGACTCACCCTACCTCTGGGGGTCAAGATTTGAACAAACTTGAAATTACACTACCTGAGGATGCTTCCACATCAATATGATTATTCATGTCTCTTTTTTCTTTAGAAGAACATTTTTAAAGATTTTTTCCTATATATTTTCCTTGTAAAACTTTGATCCCCCATTGTGGCCCCGACCCTATCTCTGGGGGTCATCATTTTAACAAATTTGAATCTACACCACCTGAGGATGCTTCCATATCAATATGACTAAACATGGCTTTGGTGTTCTTGAGAAGGACAATTTTTGAAGATTTTTTCCATCATATTTCTATGTAAAACTTTGATCCCCCATTGTGGCCCCACCTTACCTCAGGGGTCATAATTTGAACAATTTAAATCTTCACTACGTAAAGAAGGTTTCATATAAGTTTCTACTTTTTTGGTCAGTGGTTCTTGAGAAGATTTTTAAAAGATACAACTAAATTTTCACTAATTCTTAATTATCTCCCCTTGAAAGAGGGCATTGCCTTTCATTTGAATAAACTTGAATCCCCTTCACCCAAGGATGCTTTGTGGCAAGTTTGGTTGAAATTAGCCTAGTGGTTCTGGAGCAGAAGTCAAATATGTAAAAAGTTTACAGATGGACGGACAGCTAGATAGACGGAAGACGGACAAAATGTGATCAGAAAAGCTCATGAGTTTTCAGCTCAGGTGAGCTAACAAGATGTCAATGAGCCACATCACTCATCTGAGTACTTTGGCTGGGAAATTAAAAAGTTAAAATATATAACTTGTCTCAATCTACCACCCAGGGGGGATGATTTGAACACACAAATCTACACTATAACTTCCATATTTCTTTGACTAATCATACCTTTAGAAGATTTTAAAAGACTTTTTCCTATATATTTCTATGTAAATGTTTGATATTCTATTTTTGCCTCACCCTACCCCCAGGGGTCATGATTTGAACAAACTTGAACAAAGCTTGGTTGAAATTGGCCCAGTGGTTCTGCAGAAAAAAGATGAAATTGTAAACAGTTTATGACAATGACAGACAACTGAAAAATGTTGTTCAGAAAAGCTCACTTGAGCCTTCAGATTAGGTGAGCTAAAAAGGCCGTACTAACCCATAATCATGATAATTATAATATTAATTATAATATTAATTATAATATTAATTATAATATTAATTATAATATACCCATACAGAGTTTGAAATGAGACTTTAGTACCGAGACAAGATTTGTTCAGTTCTTTTCTTTAACTTGTAAATGTTTTATTTTTCAAACTCTGGCATAAGTTAAATAGGATTTGTTATACAAGGGAAAACATATTTTACAAAAGTTTAAAATTCTACCTAAATGACATCGGATTCTGATGTTTGTTGGTCCACAGTGTGTTGATATTGTCGTTCCTGGGTTGACAACAGAAAACAAAACATTTCCAAAGACATTTCTGTTCATTATATTATGTAATTTTGTTATTATCCCAAATGTTTTTTCACATATGGCAACATTATCTTGCACAACCCTTCCCTGGTTTATGAGATGAAATACACACCACTGTCCATTTGGAGTGTTATTCTTTGACCAAAGGTGCTGATACTTTGGCTTACTCACAAACAGAAAATCAGAAAAAATTGTTTCTTTATTATATTCTAACAGTCTGACATCATCTGCGAATTGGTGACATGATTGCGGGCTGTAAACCGCTTCCAATTTCAAATCTTTCAGGTGAAAAACCAAAGGATCTGTGGCACTGCCATTCAGCATTTGTCCATTTGACCCATGAACCTGCAAAGATTGTTCTACTCTGCGTGTTGATTCTAGTGTTTCTGTCTGAAACTTACAGAGTTGTTTATATCTCTGACACGCTCTCACTGTAACTTGACGATACAGAGTACATCTTACACAGTTAGGGTTAATGCAAGAAGAAAATTCACTAACACTGTCATTGGTCACCTCTGTCTCTCTTAAAATCCGTCGTAGTAAGTAAAATATGAACAGGGAACACAGAAATGTTGTAACTGTTACCACAAACAAATGCTCAAACATTGCATTTACAGTAAACTAAAGTCTAACGTTAAATAGAATCTACGTTATGGGGGCAGACATATTGGATTTGCTATCGGGTACTACTAAACAGAGTTCGCTAGAGTACGATCGATAAAGTACTTTAGAGTACGCTGGTACATTTTTTATAATTTAATGCAACTAAATTGTTTATTTATATACATACACCTTAAATAAACATTATTATAAAATAATATTGCAATATTTGTCTCATGCATCCCGATCCCGATTATATTTTGTTTTGAGAAAATATTGAGCGACATATTTCATCGATGACTAATCCAGGATTAATACTTTCTCTGAATAATTTAATTTATTCAAGATCTTTGATTTACTTGTTTTCTTTTCCTATTTTTGTTTAATTGTATGTTTTTAATCTTGTCTTTTTATTCATTTTTTCTTTCTTTCTTGATTGTTTTTTCCCTTTCGCGTTCTTTTCTTTTTCCCCTTTTTTAAAAGCTGTAGAAGAAAATAATAAAAATAAATCTATATTTTTTCTTATTTTCTTCAAGCGATCCATGTAAGAATGTACGCCAATCTGGGTAACATGGGCCCTAAGAGGTTAGATCATGATTTTTGATGTGAATGGGCATGGAAATTTTGGTAAAACAATTAAGTGACAACACTATACGAGTTATAAGTATTTTATACATGGCCGTAGGAATCGGGGGGGGGGGGCGTGCCCCCCCCCCAATAATTTTGCCGATATATAGATTACTATAGTAAACATACATACTATATGCCTGTGCCCCCTCAATAAAAACGTCTGATGACCTTTTTTTTGGGGGGGGGGGCTTGTCAAGAAATTTTTGGTAGTAGATAGTGCCCCCTCAACTGAAAATGTATGGCTGTGCCCTCCCTCCCCCCCCCCCCCCAACTGAAATTGCTTCCTACGGGCCTGTTATATATCGAAAGACTCTAAAAAAAAGTTGCAGATAAGTCGGACTAAAATGAAGTCGAACTAGATCTAGGTCTCAAAATACAGGTACATTTACTATAGGTTTATAAGGAAAAGTGCAAGTTTTTGCTCTTCAAAGCAAATTTTACGATTATCCCCGAGTACCCAACCTCCTATTCTCTTTAGAGAAGTGGACAGGCTTTCGCCTACATCCAAAAAGCCTGTCCACTTCTCTTAAGAGAATACCCAACCTCCGCCACCATTAGCGGACCGCATTACTCTCCAAATATATCTTTTGATTTGTTCGTGCACGGATCTAGAGGGAGGTCGTGGGCAGGGGGAGGGGGGTGCCCCCTCCCCCCCCCCCCCCCGATTTTGCAGAGTAAGTAAAAGTATATACTGAGGCAAAATAAACAAGATGTGTTTGTGAAACACTGATGCCCCCGTATGACAACTTATAGCGAAGGTTAAACTTTCTCAAATGCAAATCAAATATGTTGGTACCCAAAGTAAGGTCTTGTACCGAGGAATATACCTGTGAAATATGAAAGCCCTAGCAGCAACCATTGAAAAGATATGGAAAAGGTTAAAGTTTTTCAAAAGTATGTCAAACATCAAGGTCAGGGTAAAAATAAACGGTGCCCAAGGAAAGGCCTTCTCACAACTTGAGAAATACACATGTGAGGTGTGAAAGCCCTAGCACCAATCGTTCAAAAGAAATGGCCAAAGCTAAAATTTTCCAAAAGTAGGTCAAAATCCAAGGTCAAGGTCAAAGTTGTTGGTATCCAAAGGAAGGTCTTGTCACAAGAATGACATATATGAAGAATGAAAGCCCTAGCACCAACCATTCAAAAGATATGGCCAATGTTAAGTTTTTCAAAAGTAGGTCAAACTCCTAGGTCAAGGTCAAAGGGTCAAAGGGGTTGGTATCCCAAGGAAGGTCTTGTCACAAGGACTACACATGTGAAGTATGAAAGCCCTAGTATATGGAACGCCGGGACTGTCTTATATGAGTATTAAACATTATATGCAGTGTTCTCTTCATTATATGTGGTATCATTTTAATTATATGAAGTAGTTTTTACAGTTTATCATGTGCAACTTCCATTATATACAGTACTTTTTTCATTATATGATGTAGATGTGTCATTATATTATGTACATCTATCATTATATGAGGTGTTTTTATCATTATATGAAGTGCTTTTAACATTATATGCGGTAGATCTAACATTATATGCAGTAAACACAACAATATATTATGTACGCCCCGATAATTTTGAAGGAAAAAAAACCACACACACACACACACTCACGCACACACACACACCCTCACACACACAAAGAAATGAAAAATGAAAGAAAAATAAACGAGAAAAACAAAATTACAACATTTGTAATGGCAATATCTGTGGTCAATGGAGCGGCGAAGTGTGAAAGCTATTGTTTACACAGACGCAAATTGGGATGTACATGTACGTGTATATTATATACCTGTACCTGGCGTTTGTAAACAATAAGCATGATATCCATCTCTCTACGTGCAAGTTTGCTACAAAGTCTTCATCAGGCCCACAGCTAGCAACGTTTTTGGAAATTCTATTTTTTTTTGGGGGGGGGGGGGACTCTCTAAGTTGCCGGAATTTTTTTCTTTTCAATTCTTTTGTAATTTACCCGATTTCGACCTGACAGCAACAGAAAGTGTGTATGAAAGGGGGGGGGGAGCAGCGTCTAAGTTAATGAATTTCTACATATCGAAACTTAAGCAAAAAAAAAAAAAAAAAAAAAAAAAAAATTCTCAGAAAAAGTGGAGAAATAGGTCAAAAATTAGAGCACCCCTTCCTGACACCTTCCCCCAGCGTATAACAGGCCTGTTCATTGTCTAATGAATTGGTCTATCGATGTTTGGAAATCTTTGATGAATCGAAGTTGTAAGCTATTAAAATTAAAGCAATATACTAAAATACTGGGTAACAAATACCATTTAAGGATGGATTCTTGTCAGCATTTTACGTCGTCAATGGGTCTCCATAAATTATGCAAGTCGTAAAATGCAAAATTCATATTTAATTATACTGAAGGAAAAACTATTAGTTAATTTGTCAGTTTAAGTAATGTTGAATCTATTTCTTTTGAAATTAATAAATTTTTCGTAATATTTTCTTTGATTTGCGACAATCGTCATAATATTCGCAGTTCGGTAGCGAATGTCAACATGTCCAGATCAAACCCCGAGAGGGTTGTTTTGTAAAATCAACAAACTGTGAACATTATCGAAGCATTGCAGAAACCCAGGGACAGTTATGACAAATTAAATCATAGTTATTTATGCTCGGGAAATTCCGATCAGCCAAAAGGGAAGCTTGAACTTGAAGCTAGGTCACAAACATGTGCAAGATTGCAGATCCACGTTGCCTCGTCTGAAGTCATGTCGTGTGCAGTGAGCATGTAAGTTAGTTATATATGTCTGAAGATTTTTATAATTTTGAAATTGAATTCAATTACATGCTGGTTTGTATTGATTTATGGGAATTCGCACGGAAATTATAGTCCTGTTATCAATATTTCGTCTGCTTATTCCCGCGACTTGTCAACATTTGAAGAGGATATATTTCGTGTGTTCGTCAGGTTTATGAATTCACAAAAATAGCATTTTTTGTATATGATTACAACAAATTTTATATTTTAACTAGCCTACTTTGTTCAAGACACAACAATCATCAAGTTATTAAAAAAGTAAGGTGTCCCGCTTGGGTACAAATCAAACGGAAAAATAACTTGATATTGTATGTGGAAATATCAATAATATTGAAACACACAATTGTCTAATAAATAGAGCAAAATGAAACATTATTGTTAAAAAACTATTTATATTTATTGTTTTTTTTTGGAACACTTCTAGTATGCCGGTCCCCATAAATATGGCGCTAAAATATGTGCCGCCGAAGGCGGTGTATTATAATAAAGCGATCGCGTGAGCGATCGAAAAAAATCAATAAAAAGGCCAAAAAACGTCAAAATAAGCCCAGAAATGAATTCCTTGTAAAAAATGAGGTTTAAAAAACTGGTTTTTAAACACAGTTTTTTAAATTCGAAGTAAAACATAATCCAGAAATAAAACTACACGCTTCTTGTAAAATCGACTTTTAATGTTGTCAACTTCGAAGGTTGTCTCGAGCGCGTTCTGTAGAAATAAATGAATATTCATGAGATTTTCGTCACTGATACATACTAGCATGTGACGTAATTTGTAAACAGAAACAGCTGATTGTATGAAATGCCGGTGAAATTAAAGGATATTTACCAGAAAAGCGCCGATTTAACTTGTTTAATTCAGTGGTTAATTGGATTGAATGTTCTGATTGATTTAAATGGGGAAACATGTAAAAGTTGTGAGACGGGAAAATTTGGATTAAGGAAGGATTCTAGTTATTCCAGAGACGAACATGTTTGGAGATGCTCCAACAAAAAATGTCACAAGAAAGTGTCCGTGAGAGTTGGGAGCTGGTTCGAGAATCATAAATTAACTCTGGAAAAAATTCTTTTAATTACTTATTTTTGGGTGTACCAAGTAAGTGAATTATTTGTCAGACACGAACTTGAAATTGCATGTCAAACCATCGTAGACTGGTACAATTTCGCACGGGAGGTTTGCACCTGCGTATTAGAAAAGGAATCTGAGAAAATAGGAGGAGAGGGGAAAGTTGTCGAGATAGACGAGAGCAAATTTGGAAAGAGAAAATTTCATAAAGGACGAAAAGTTGAAGGTGTGTGGGTGTTTGGAGGGATAGAGAGAGGATCAAAGAAGTGTTTTTTCACGACAGTGACAGATCGCTCGAGAGAAACATTACTCGGCATCATAAAACAAAATATTTTACCGGGAACTACTATTATATCTGACTGCTGGAAAGCATATGACATTCTCGACCAGGAGGGATTCGATCACTTAAAGGTTAACCATTCTCTGCATTTTGTTGACCCTACCACTGGTGCACACACAAACACGATCGAGTCAACTTGGAGAGCATTGAAAAAATCACTGCCAGTGAGCGGGACTGTTAAATCTCTCTATGACACTTATTTTAGCCAGTACTGTATACGTAAAAAATACTTAAAAGATTCCTCAGATCCTTTCCTAAAATTTCTAGAACTTATAA